AGCGCTTTAGTGCGTGGGGCAGTCCCTGGTGGCTGCAGGAGGGAGCTGCAGCTGACTCCAAGCTGGTAAGTACGAGGGGCAGGGAAGGGGGGACTGGGGGGGGACCATGCGGTGACCGTGCTCACCAGGTGCTGCCGGGCAGGGGGGTGGGGTGATCCTGGGTGGCCTCCACTGCCCCATGCTACATAGGGGGCTCTGCACAAGCCCCCCAACCTCCCCCATTGCTCCCCCAGCCCCTCAAGGGTGCCCTGCCTGGGCCAGCTCTGGCCCTTTAAGAAAAAATAAAAATGGAGAAAAGCCCTGGGACTCATGGCTCCTGGTGCAGCCTCAGGGCTTTGGTGGGACTCATGCAGAGCCCCCCACATGGCGTGGGGCAGTGGAGATTGCCCCCCGCTGGCAGGAGCAGTGAGTGTGGTGCTATTTCATTTTTTTTTTCTGACAGGGCCGAAGCCAGCCCGGACAGGGCACCTGTAAGGGGGCAGGGGAGTGAGGGAGGGGGGGTTGGGGAGCTCGCACACATCTGCCCATGCAGCGTGAGGCAGTGGGGGGTGGGCAGCAGGGATCACCCCCGGCCTGGAAGTACCCGCTGAGCCGGAGCTTTTTTTTTAACAAGTGTCGAGAGCTGGAGCAGCTCTTGCTGGGCTGGGAGAAGGATGGGCCTGGCCTGGCTGATTCGACAATTCAGCCGAATCAAATCGGGACAGTGATTCAAATCACCGAATTGAATCACTGTCCCTTGAATCGGCCGAATCAGAATCCGAAGTGAATACTAGCCACTTCGCACAGGCCTACTGACTTCCACGCAAAAATAGATGTGTGGGTCAAATAAATGGTTTTTCTATACTTACTAAGTTTACAGTAATGTAAGTCAGTGTTGGATTCTGTAAGTGGCTTTCCTTGTAGGCAGATTCCTGCATTTTCATGGGGCCCCAGTGAAGTCAACAAGACTTACCATAAACCTAGCAGGGTCTGCCTCCATTGAGTTAATTGTTTAGCTGGCACCTCAGAAACAATGAGCCTTTTGCCATGGACTTCATTTGAATGAAGATTTGGTCTGAACTTTAACTTGCTAGCTATTTATTCACCTGGTTGAACTGTAGGGCAAAATCATTATAATTCTGTAGAAATTAAAATTTAACAATAGTCCTAGTTGAGTTTTCCCATGCAAAGGCAAACCACGGACTATATTTACCCACATCTATGAGGACTTTGAATTTAAGACAACCCTCCACCCCCAATGATTAGTCTCTAGACATGAAAAATTATAGATTTGTGATATTACTCCATGTGTAGTATTTAATTATTGGGGGCGTTGGCTTAAATTAATCCCCTGGCTGCTGCTGCTGGGCAAGTGACAGGGAAAGTAGCAGCAGGGGGGCAGGCATCTGTCCTGCCACTATCTGTTCCCCCCCACCACTTCTTGGCCATCAGGGGAGATGCGGCATGGGAGGAGGGGAGCCAGGCAGGGAGCTGGTGCTGGAAGGAAGAATCTGTGTGTTGCCGCTGCTATCCCTGGCTAAGCTAAACTCCCTGCACAGCCAGGCTACCTGAAGGAGGGGACAGGATTGACTCTAGGCTCCTTCTAGGCTCAGATCAGCTGGGGATACCTCTGGTCCTCACAGCTCCTGGCTGGAGTGGTCCCATACTCGATTCTAGAAGGAGGCTTTGTTTTCCCCGTGTTGAATGGGGAGTGGGGGAACTTGCCTTGGAATGGAGTTAATTCAGTAATTTATGGTGAATGCTTTACTGTAGTTTCAAGAATACATAAATGAACGAGAAGTTTGCCTAGAGAACACAGAGGTAACTTCCTCTATAACAGTGGAGATCAATCTTTGTGGCAGGTGTACCACAAATTAGCCCTGCACCCTCCCCAAGTGCTATTCAGAGCCCCTTCCCTTGCCCAATCTCCTGTTCTGTTTTCTGCTCCCTGTCTG